AAGACTCACTGCTTTCCCTTAACCCCATCATACTTGATTAGTAGTTCAATAGTTGTAAGACAGAACCATAGCATGGTTTGGGTTGGAAGGGACCTTACAGATCACCTAGTTCCAACCCCCCTGCCATGGGCAGGGACACCTTCCACTAGACCAGGTTGCTCAAAGCCCCGTCCAACCTGGCCCTGAACACTGCCAGGGAGGGGGCAGCCACAGCCTGTCCAGGCAACCTCTTCCACTGTCTCACCACCCTCACAGTGAAGAATTTCTTCCTTATATCTAATCTAAATCTACCCTCTTTCAGTTTAAAACCATTTCCCCTGATCCTGTCCCTACACTGCCTGATAAAGTCCATCTCCATCTCTCCTGTTGCCCCCTTTTAAGTACTGGAAGGCTGCTATAAGGTCTCCATGGAGCCCTCTCTTCTCCAGGCTGAACACCCCAACTCTCTCAACCTGTCCTCATAAGGGAGGGGCTCCAAGCCCCTGATCATCCTTGTGGCCCTCTTCTGCACTTGCTGCACTATGTCCATGCCTGTATCCCAAGAACATGCTTTGTTCTAATGCCAACTCCCTGCAGAAAATTATTTTCATTACACCTGACACTGGTCTTTTAAAATGTTAACTTCTCCAAAGAATAACAATATTTTAAACACAGCAATATTATTTTGTTTCCATTTTAAAGTACATTGGTAAATTTCATCACACTTGCCCAAAGAATGACAGTCCTTCAAGATAATAGTTGGTGTGAGGTAATTGTTTTTTTCCTTTTAGTCCAGCTGTCTAAAACTTAGATCAGAAATAAAAGTGAAGTAGCAAGTCCACAACATAGTGGAGGCCAGTGAACAAGTTTAGGTTAAAAGGCATGGCAAGTTACATAATACTGCCATCCTATTATCCTCAGGACCTCTGGAGATACCTGGTTTAAGCCACTACTCAGAACAGGGCCAATGTGGAGCTGGTGGCTCAGGGACCTGCCAGGTTGAGCTCTGAACATCTCCAGCAATGGGGATTCCACAACTGCTCCAGGCTCCCTTTCTGTGAGACCACTCTCACGGTGAACCTTTCTTCCCCTAACATGTAATGCATTTCCCTGGTGACAGCTTGTGTCTGTCACTCCCTTCCTCTCGCTGTGTGCCTCCAAGCAGAGCCTGGCCCTGCCTTCCCCATCCTGTCCCATTTGGTAGTTGCAGACTGCAGTATGAACCCCCTTTGTCCGTCTCTTCCTCAGGCTGAACAAGCCCAGCTCGATCTGCCTCCTCTCCTACATGGTGGGCTCCAGCCCCCGGCCATCTTGGTGACCCTCCCCTGGATCACTCCAGTATGTCCACGCCCACCTTGCACCACGGAGCCCAAAGCCAGACACAGCACTCCCAAGGCAGGCTCTCAAGTGCTGAACAGGGGATAACCACCACCTCCCTCAAGCTGCTGGCTACACACTTGCTGAAACAGCCCAGAGTGCTGTCAGTGTTCCTTATCACAAGGGCACACCGCTGAACTGGGTTCAGCTCGTTGTCTGCAAGAACCATCTGCCCTACACAGGTCCTTCTCTGCAAAGCTGCTTAGAAAGAAACCACTCTGTCCCTATCCATGCTCTTACACAGGGTTATTCCATCCCAGAAGCAGGATGCTGCATTTGCTTTTGTTGACCTTTATGAGGTTTCTGTCAGACCATTTCTCCTGCAAGTCAAGGTCCACCTAAATAAATTTTTAGACCTACAACATCTGGCTACTTGCTTAAGTAAGTATTTCCAAGTTCAAAGGCTGGAGAGACATTTCTTTCAGAAGAAAATTAACACATTTTTTAGCATTCAGGATGTTTCTTAACTTTAATCAACTGAAACATGTATTTTAGTAAATTTCTTATTGCAAGTTTCCAGTCAGTATTAAAGTGCCTTACAGATTTTTCCAATGTTCTCCCTAAATAAAGGGAACTAGAATAACAACAGCAACCACCCGAGGTAGTTTCAGGAATGCTTTCATCTAGCTCAGTCAAGGCTACTTGATTATAGTCAGCTTTCTAGTTTAGAAACAGAAATAGTTATATCTACCCAAGTGGCCATGAGCTACCCTCTCTCTGAAACAGCAACAGAGCTAATAAACCTTATTGGCATCACCATGCTGACTGCCAGGGCCATTGTTCGGCCAGATTAAGCACCAGCCTCCAAAAGGGTTATTTTTAAGGTCAGTTTAGTGCTGGCTAATCTACTCCCAGACATTCATAGATCTTGGGTTGTCATGTGCCTTGGAACAGGATAATGCAAAGAACACAGATGCTGTAAGTAGCCTGCTCAGGTCCAGGAAGTCTATCTGAGCTTCTGGAAAAAAGCTGGATGGCACTTAACATTGTGTCTTCCTAATTTCATCTTGGTTAGACATGCCTGAGCAGTATACTATGGGTTACCACATAACTCTAACTCAGTTTTTTTCCTAAAGACATGTAACCTCCCTTCTCTCAGAATTTCTACTCTTCCCTTTCCCCACCTAGCCCTCTTCCATCTCCCTTATTCTACAGGGCCCATACACTGTTACCTCAAGTACCAAGGTCACTCATAAGAACAGCTGTTTATATAAAGCAAGCCATTCAGGTTAATTTATGTGGTTTTGCAAGGTCATTGACCAAAATACTGAATACTAAAGACTTAACTAAACAGAGGAACTGTAGGAATTATGCAGTAGGCAATCAAATCAAGATGTTAGGTCTATTTTTCTAGAATACAATGATCAGGACAGTCTTAAGTATTTGGAAGGTATATACCTGAACACTTTATTCAGTCACCTTTTATCCAATTAGCCAGTTTCTGGTTTTTATGAGCATGTCTGTACAGGATTTAGAGCCTTGATCAGCTGTGTTTTTAATCCAACAGCATCAGGAAAAGCAGGACATTTCATTTACTTTTCTGTATTGTCTTGCAGCCTTTCCCCCAGTTGTAGAGAGAACCGGAATCTTGTATCAGCTGCAGCCAGACTGCTATGGATTATCAGAGAAAGAGCTCAGACATTTCTCCTCTGTTGAGGACTACACTGAGTTGTAGTTAAGAGATTTAAACAAAGTATTTTAAGGATGCCGAGTTCATTTCCATCCATCTGTGCAATTCCAATGTGACAAGTAATGCTTTTGTAAGTTTTCATTAGAATTTATGCTATATAAAATGTTTATACTTGGGAATTACTCAACACTTCCTGACCCACATAATTAAAACGGACTGGTATATTTACATAAAAATCACAAGACAGTTCAAGTATTTGTAGAAAATCCATCCAAAACCACAAAAAAACTTGACACAATAGCTTTCTGGTTTTAAGCAGGACTTAAACTTTTCATGTTTTTAATTGCTAATTAAAAGTGTTCTTTATGCTAAAATACTTCAGAAAAAAAACAACACCACAAAAAACAAAACCAACCTCAGAGAAGATATAAAATCTTATCCTGGTACAAGGACATACATTTCAGCAATAGTATCTTTAAAGTAGAGAAGCCTGCTGAATCAGGCTTGAATAGTTTCTATCTGATGAGATAAAGACAACAACCTTGTTTCTGTATAGATTTTTTTTTTTTACTATACATTTAAGCAAATGTTAGATCATCAAAATTGATTTACATTTTTTGTGAAAGACATTTATTGAATATAAAAGCCCCCCATTACATTCAGCCATATTATAAATGATTACACGCAAAAAAATTCAAGTGTGTGAAGATTAATAGTCTAACTGGCTGAACATTTTCAGAATTTAGATCATTTATGAACCCTTATTTCTCAACTGTACAATAACAAAATTCAAAAAAATATGCTTTGTCTTTCCAGCAATATTACAGTCAGAAGAATACTGTGCTTATGGCATTAATGGCGGCCCACATTGGCAACTATTAGTTTAATGATTTTAAGTGTAGGACTTCTTATATTAGCAACAAGGTGTATGAAGAACAGAAACCTAAACAACAATTTATGTGAAGACTTCACTTTGATCTGAAAAGCTGTGGGCCAAAGTTCAAGACCGAAGGCTTAAAAGTACCATTGTCCATGTTGAGGCACCAAGGCTCAGGTTCAAAACAGCTTTCCCCTACAGAAGGAAGCTTAACCACACACATCAGTGCTGCCTGATTCAGAAGCTCCACTGTGGATTTCGAAAGTTATCGAGCCTCCCAGCTGCATGTCTTGGATACCCACTCCTGAGATGCTAAGCCATCAAGTCAAGACACTAACGTAAAAGATTTTTTGCAAAGTGAACTTTAGAAGTTTTCCTATAGCCTTTGGAGAGATTTTATTTACTATGTCAAGCCATTGAAACAAATGCATCTGTAGTCTTTTGTACAAAGTTAAATGCTGAAAAGCTTAAGTATAAAACTACAGTTTAGTTTCTGTACAAGGTAACATAGGACAGACATCGTAAAACCTCAGCTTATTTCTAAGTTTCATGAAACTTCTGCATACCACTTTTCATCACAGCCGCACTGCTCAACACTGACATTTCATGTCATAAATCCTAAAATAACAAGATTAAAAAACTGATTTGCACAAAAGAAATCTGAAATAACTTTATATACACAACAGAAAGCCTTTCAAAGTACAAAAATAACATCTATATGCCAATTAGTTACCATGCTTTTGACAGTTCTCTCAGTGCCTACACATGCAAGACAGTAATCTAGATTAAGAATAATTCTGCATCTGTAGAATGTATCAGAATATAAAAGACATTACCACGTGACTAACTCTTATTTTCAGGATGGATATGTATTCAAAATATCTTTATAACCAACACTGTAATATTCCAGTCTCTGCATGTACATGTGCAGATAAGCAGCTTTCATCTTACTTGATTTTAAAGTCTCCTGCAAGCTAATAATCCACCCTAAAGAGCTATGATGGTTCTAATAAATCTAGTTGTACAAAGCAATTCAAAATGTACAAAAACTATAAAAAAGGGAACATTTATTGCCATGCATGAAACTTAAGTATGTTCAACCAAACTGCATCAAATGCAGTTTTGTTCGTTAGTTTTGGGGGTTTTGGGGTTTTTTTTTGCATTTTGTTTTTGTTTTTTTTAAAAAAGATACACAAAGCAATTTACATTAACACTCTTAACATTAGATCAGCAGAATCAGCTCTGACTAAATGCCACAAGGGTAAGACACATTCCTTTTGCTGGTGCCTATCAGATCTTCAAATCCATGGGAACATAAAATCAGGAATCTTCATTTCCCACAGTCAATTCAGATCATGAAATCAACTGAAAAGAGAAGTGTATTAGTTTTCTTCTTTCTTTCAGTCCAATTACATACAGCCTCTTCATTTGCATCAGACTATCAAGAAAATACACTCTACTTTTGCTATCACAAAAAACCAAGAACATCCCTACAGCAGACAGATTGCTCTCTTGTGCCTTTGCTGATAGTGACACATGTATGCAAAGCACATAAGCAGAACAATTTCTAGATAGCCATATATCAACATCTGCAAATGAAGCCACAACGGAAAGAAACGTTACTTTAACTCCACTAAGTGACCCTCACTTCTCTAGTATCATTTTCAGTTTGGGGGCAAAAGTAGTTGAACTTGAAATTTTTTGACAAATTACCAACCACGGACTGAACAATAAACCCTTGTCATGAGTACATTAGACCAGGCCTAATCTTCAGTGCGACAGACTCAAAGGAAACACTATAACTGTGATACCAGGAACACAGAGAGAAAAGTGAGGTATCATTATCCTCTTTTGCCTTCTCTCATGGCCAGAGCTTGCAGGACTGCAGAGCTTATACAACCTTCATGTGTTGTTACCTATGAATGTATGTGGTCAGTGCATCAATTATAGTGCACCTTGCAACCAAGGCTTTTATTTAAAGCAAATGCATAGCTTTCCGAGAGTAAGAGTCATTAAAAATGGCTTTAACTTTAGTTCTGCTTACCAAAGTAATTCACAAGAGTAGTAGTAGCATGCTAAGACAATAGAGTCTGAACAATTATTTTTGAAAGGTATACAAAAGAAAATAAACATCAAAGCACTAAACTTCCAATACTATACAGGAGGCTATTAATACTAGTGTAACAAGATGCCATGCTACCTTCTAATAGGCTGAAGAAACAACAAAAACCCAACCCAGAATGTTTTCTAAATGATAAAGTCTTTACCTCTTTGACTGTTTTTTTAATGAAGTCTTTCCTGTCAGATAAATCATAACTAGGATATTTTTCATACACCTAAAAAACGTTAAAAAAACAAAACAAAACAAACCTCAAATTACTTTCATTCAATGTACTGTATGAATAAAAGAAGCTTAAATGAAATTAGGGCAAAAATTTGTGTGGAACTTCTAGTATTACAACTGCCAAATACCCTCTGTTTATTATGGAAAGTGACAAGCTTATTTTCCTGTCCTTATTTTGACAACATAAATATTCAAATATTTTTGTTTGTTTGTTTGGTCACTGACTAAACATTGGTACAATTTTTCACATCAACAAATTGGAACTCCTAGCTTGCCATGTCAGGCAAACAATTCTCCAATCTTTGTCTTACATGCTCTCTAAGTAGTCAGATACTCCTGCATTTGTGTAGGAATCTAACCAAATACCAAAGTGCAAGACTTATTTATCTTTCGGTAGTAAGTAAAATTACGGTCCTTTCAAGTGATTAGTAGAAAATGAAACATATTTGAATGCTATTCTACAACTACTGTTTGGTTAAGTGGGTGGGAAAGGACCAACCAAATAAAAAAAATTAGATGCCAACACTAACAACCAATGCAGAATATTTTATTTCAGTATACCAAATTTCAGACCTTGACTATAAACCTGACCATGACTATAAACATGACAAAAAGCTTTGTACAAAATATAAACATATAATTTCCTCCTAGGAGTGACTTTTAGTTTACTTTTCTCAAGACAACTTCTTGAAGTACCAGGAAAACAAACATGTGAAATAACTGACTACAGAAAATGTTATGGTAACAGTACTGTCTAATTCAGACATTTTTCCCCACCTTTCCCTTTTCTGGCCACATGGTGCCTTCCTGGCACCTGTCCTGACAATTAATGGCTTCCTTGCTGAACTGATTCAACTCACTAACTCAGCTAAGAACTGTTAGTTTTTGGCTGATACATGAGAGTTGAATGGACTCATAAAGAGAACATATGAAGAAAGAGAGCAAAGTGAGCAGGAGAAATGTACAGAGAGCAGGACACAGCCCCTCCCCTTTAGACAGCAGCAAGCTGCTGCACTGTCTCAAAACCTAAAATGCTTTCACTGTAATACATGGAAAGTAGCAGTATTACCTCCAAAACAACTGCCATGTAGCTATTTCTTCTCTGGAGATTTCCTTTCTAGTGTCAGATATCAGTGTTGCATATTTTAAGACTAAAGCTGCTATTGTTATAGCTGTTAGCCAGTAAATAAATCAATGCAAAACTACATTTCTGAACCAGTGTGCAGAGTGCATGCCTCCATTCTGAAATGATGACAAAAGTCAGTTCACAGACAACTCGCTGCCTAAAGAGAGACTGCAGAAAATCACATTTGCTTACCTCCTTGCAAATTTGTTTCATTGTGACCTCCTCCAAGTTTGCATTGGCCAACAAGTTCTTGACAGTTTCCTTAAGTTCTTCATCTGTGGGTGGTTTCTTCAGCTTTTTAATTAAGGGTTCATCATCTGAGCTATCCTCGGACTCACTTTCTAAATATGAAGAATAATGTGAATTGCAATGAAAGATTTTCAATTTGTCTGCCTTCTTCCTCCAAAACAGAAGCCATCAGAACTTTCCCCAAACATCTATCTGATGGTAGACATCTTGCCAGACCTTTCAATTAAAAACAAAGCTAATGCTATCAGTGCTCCATTTATTTATGAATCTGCATCAGTGTTGATGAGTTATCAGTTTACAAATCAATATGTACTCTAGAAAGTATGGGACAGATTAATCTATCAAACTACAAAAAGTTTTATTACAACAATTCTAAGCTGAGGTATTATAGCCCTAAAAAAAAGTACTTATTTGCTTTAAAAAGGACTTTGGATTTTTTTTTTCTTCCCCCAGCAGCAGTACACACTAGAATCCTGAAATTTTGCAATGCTGCATTACTAAACATGTTATCAGAAATACCATGACAACAAATGAAGAGAATCATAAAGTTGAGGCACAGGACACTCCTACAATCTTTTCCAGCAGCAAAAAAATTAGACTGAACGACTCTCAACATCTACTCAGTTCCTCTACTGACAACAAGACACAATTCAGAGCAGATACCAAACAATCTAGATAATGAGCTTACAGAAAGACCTACTTGACCATTGATTTTTGTACTGTGAACATAAACTCAAAACAGAAATGCAGGAGTAATGAAGAAATTATGAAAATATTACATAACCTATACGCAAAACAAAAAAATAAATGTTGCATATATCGATGACAAAATATAACATAGTCAGCTACATTAATACTGCCAACAGCCAATCTGAAAATACCTCAAGTTCATCACAGGCCAGTTTGCTGAGTAATAAGGCTACAACAGAAGTTCAGCATAGTTCTATGCCTAAGAGTTTAACCATTCCTTTCCTTAATACACTGACAAGCAGAGCAATTAATCTGAACTGATGTTTGTGCTATAGTATACATATTCCAATGCAGGCATTAAATGAACTGTTTGCAGTATGGATATATGCTTCATTAATAACTCATACTACGGTTGCGACAGAGATATGGCTATTACCTCAGAAAGCCAGAGAATTTCTGGTGAGAAGGGACCTCTGGAGATACCTGGTTTAAGCCACTACTCAGAACAGGGCCAATGTGGAGCTGGTGGCTCAGGGACCTGCCAGGTTGAGCTCTGAACATCTCCAGCAATGGGGATTCCACAACTGCTCCAGGCTCCCTTTCTGTGAGACCACTCTCACGGTGAACCTTTCTTCCCCTAACATGTAATGCATTTCCCTGGTGACAGCTTGTGTCTGTCACTCCCTTCCTCTCGCTGTGTGCCTCCAAGCAGAGCCTGGCCCTGCCTTCCCCATCCTGTCCCATTTGGTAGTTGCAGACTGCAGTATGAACCCCCTTTGTCCGTCTCTTCCTCAGGCTGAACAAGCCCAGCTCGATCTGCCTCCTCTCCTACATGGTGGGCTCCAGCCCCCGGCCATCTTGGTGACCCTCCCCTGGATCACTCCAGTATGTCCACGCCCACCTTGCACCACGGAGCCCAAAGCCAGACACAGCACTCCCAAGGCAGGCTCTCAAGTGCTGAACAGGGGATAACCACCACCTCCCTCAAGCTGCTGGCTACACACTTGCTGAAACAGCCCAGAGTGCTGTCAGTGTTCCTTATCACAAGGGCACACCGCTGAACTGGGTTCAGCTCGTTGTCTGCAAGAACCATCTGCCCTACACAGGTCCTTCTCTGCAAAGCTGCTTAGAAAGAAACCACTCTGTCCCCACCTGCACTGCTGCAATTCTTACAGAGATATTAAGAAACTCAATGTATGTATATCTTTTATGCACATTGTCAGATATGAGAAACCCAACAGTAACAGGACACAAGTAGAACCCATATTTACGTTGACAAAACCCACATGAAACTGCTGAACAAGACATACACAGTAGGATATATACTACCAGATCAACTGTAATATTCACATGAAGTCACTATAAAAAGGCAGCAATTGCTAACATTCTTCCAGCAGAATGGAAAACTAGGCTGACACTTTCAGTTTGTATGCAAATAAAAAGTATATTTAATTTCTGTTGTGTACATATAAAGTATACCCAAACCAGGAGGTTTTTTAATTACTGTTGCAAGAAAAGAAACATCAAGTAGCAAACCCAACAGTTCACCAAATCTGTTTTCTTTCACAATTAGGTACTAAAGCTTTATTTCTAATAAGCATGCCAGTTAAGCGACAAGACAATGTATGATGAAAGATTTAAAGCACTTACCTTTTCTAGAACTGTTCTGATTTTTTTTAGTAGTGCTGCTATCTGCCTTCTTGACATTTGCACCCTTCACAGATTTCTTGGTTTTGGAAGTGATCTTTCTAGATTTTTCTCTTTTAGATGCTTTTCTAGGGGGCTACAAAGAAGAAAAACAGAGGATTAAAATTATGGTTTCTACCCAAACAATCAATACCTCTTTTCCACAATGGAAATTATCCTTTCTGTCAGTAAGAACTAAATCAGCAAGTTTAATTACTATATTTTACTAGCAATTTCTATCTCTATACCACAGGGTGAGTATGTCCACAAAGAGTATTCCTTCTAAATTTCACTTTGTCCTTCTACATGGACTCTTAAGCTAAAACAGCTAGAATTTTTTGATGGTACTAATAGTTTGGTTGTGCTACAACTTTCTATTCCTAATTAATTATCTTGTAAAATAGCTTTAAAGATGTTCCTTTAAAAAAGGACATGGTATGTTGTACTCAATTAGATGCTATAGGTCTCTAAACTACATGCAGATAATTTTCTGCACTACTACATTAGCTAATCCATAATTTGGACAATTATTGTGACCAATTATAATAACCCCCCAAAATTATTGCATTAACATCAACAGAAGAAGTTTGGAACATAAATATATATATAGTATACACACATCAGCACACTGCATTTTTGGCAAAAATCAAACGTGTGCTTTACACAAAATCCTTAGAAAGTACTTCTGTCAAGGCTGAAAACTTTGACAGAAAAAACAACATGGAACATTAACCAGAAATAAACCATATTTCAGAGAAAGAACATCATGAAACAAAACAAGTTAACAGTAGTTACGAAATCTGTAATTTGAATTTATATTTAAAATGGCAGTGTAGTCAAATGAGCAAACTATCACATTAAAACAACTGAGATTACTGTAACTTTTAACTGCTTCTCCTATTAGTACCTGGTGCAACTCATGAAATTTATTTAATAAACCAGATTATATTTATTTATATTGAGCTGCTCAGTTATAGCTGCACTTGTTCTGCGGTGTTAAATGAAGGATAAAAGCTTTCACTGTTGAAATTCAGAAACTACACTCAAGGATCACTCCTTTTCTAAATAAACGTTTGTAGTTTAACTTCTCAGCTTTTGAGTTTCTGCTATATCTCCATCACCAGCTATAAAGTCAGAAGTTAAACCTGGCACTTATGTTTCAGGTTTTTTTTTTATAAAATAATGCTCCCACAGCACATAAAAATATTTCAGGTATCTTTTGCTTCCAAGGAACTAAGATTTTTTGTTTTGCTTAATTGTATTTAAAGAAAGAGTTGCAGCCAAGAGACATGCAACTCTGAGGACAATCTACTCCAGCCACTCCATGCCTAAGATTACAATGGAGTTGGGGCAGCAGAGCAGATGTGCCACCGACATCCTTCCACATGTAGCATGTTAAAGGGTGTCATAAACCTAACTTCTGTTTTTTTTAATTGCTGCAATCTGAAAGCTTTACAAACATTTGCTCTACAGACATTTCCCATTTCCTAATATTCAAAATAATTTGACAGTGTTTTAGTAATGATTAGGTTTTTACTCCATGCAAGTCAATTTCAGTTTCCAAAGACTTCAGTCTACTCAGCTTCTGCCTGGCAGACATACCTAACACCTACCTTCTGAAAGAAGGCAAAGAAGATCCAGTTAGATCAACAGGGTTTACTGTGAGTTTTTTTGTTTGTTTGCGGGTTTTGTTTTGGTTGGAGTTTTTCTGTTTGTTTTTTAAACAATTGAGCTCTTGAAAAGTTTTCTAAAAGATAACTCCTGCCTCTGAAAGCAATGTTCCTCTGTTTTGCTGAAGAGATGAACAAATACAAAATAAACTTTTAGTATTTCATCCCTCTTTCAATTTGCCATTTGTGGGGAAAGAGAAAAGGCAAGCTAAGAATTAATGTTTTATGAAGGCATAGGGAATTTCCTTGAACCACCTTTTTAAATCAAAACCAACACCTATCAAAATGACAGTGATGATACAAACTGTTAGTTATCTAAATTGGTCTTTCAACAAAAGATTGTTGTTACTATAGCTCAGACTATTTACTTAACAGCCTGTCACACTTCCACTGCAATAGACAGAACATAACCAAAGTAAATAATGGTCTTAAATTACAGCCAAAGATTCCATCCTTACATAAAGAATTTCCTTGGACACCAACAGTCAACTAATTACTGTTTGTTGAAAGGCTTTGATTAAGGCTAAAAAGGCAGTCCCATCTAAATCAAAATACAGCATAAGATGGAGCCTGCAGCTCCTTGGCATTTCTTTTTTCCAGGCTTCAGGCATATGGACAAATCAGCTGTACACTTGTACTGGCCTCCATGTTTTGTGTCTATTCTGTGACTAAGTACAGGGCTGAAAGGGAATGTACAGGGAAAGGTATTTTGTATTTAAATAAAAAGTTCATCTCATTTCTCTCCTACTACGCAAGGCTAAAAGTAGCTTCAAATAAAACAGAGAACAGAAAATACAGTGAGATGAGAAAACTTCAGCGACTGCGGGGATCTCTGTAAGGCTGTTTACTATGTTGCTCACTTTAGCTTTGTGATCCATAACACAACACCCTAAAAGAAAGGTTAGAACATAAAACCCAGGAGAAATATGGAATCAAGATCCAAAACCAATGCAGCCAGGTAGGTCAGGGACCAATCCTGAATTCAAAGTTAAGTCCTAGATATCCAATCAAACCCTACACAGAGGGAAAAAAAAAAGACAAATATTGGGATTTTTTTATGAAATTACAATAACATCAACACAAGATGATACAAGAAATGCAGTTATGTTTGAAATCCTGACTGTCCCAAAATGACATACAGCAAATGGTTTTAAGGTGCATATATACATCCAATAATCAGAACCTTTGCCTTTTATCTTGTTGATTTTCTAATGCACTAAGAAATGATGAAAATCTCTTATAAATTGAAGATGTGTCCCTTTTTCTTTCAAACCATTCATTCAGTTAAACATCACTTACCCTCCAACTCTGTGTTCCAAGAACTACCAATTGATAACAACCACATAACGACAAACTGCAGACAAATGCTTTTAGCCCTATGCTGAAAAAAAAAGTAAAAAAACCTCATTACCTCATCTTCACTTTCTTTTTCTTCTGAAGAGTCATCCTTTTCCTTCTTTTCATCTTCTTCACTACTGGATTCATCTGACAAGATCTCTGGGCACTTGGTGCGTTTTGCTTTTCTTGTTGTTCCTGTGCTACTGCGCTCTTTTTTGCCACCTTTGCTTGGTGTTTTTTTGGACTTCGGCAATGGCTGAGAGAGAGGGATGTGTGTAATCCAAGTAGAAATACAAAAATTAATTTTAAAAATATATATACTTTCAAATCAAATGAAAGAACTGTAAACAAATATAGAGGTCTCTAAGTCTTGATAACAAAACCCAGGGCTATTTTATCTACTACACTTAAGCCATAACATTTTGCAGTAAGCAGAAATTTATTACAGAGATGGAGCTGAGCAAAATGAAATTTCAGTTCTAAGCTAAGCACCCCTCTACTCCACTAACTAAAAAAAAAAAAATCTTCAAAGCTTGAGGATTAGGGAAGGAAAGCAAGGAAGAACAAACTTACCGATGCCCTCCCAACCCATGAAAGCAAGCTTTTTCTTCTGGTAACACATTAGCTGACAACTCTTCAGAAGACTTAAACACAGGAATTCTGTCATGTCTTATGCAAAACTGCCTTTTATTGTCACTCAGTACCAGTGTCCCTAAGACAATATGCAGACTCCTTGTTCACATGACTTACCAGTGACGTGAATTTTTTTCTTTTGCTGAGAATAAATTTAATTTCCTGAGCAACATTTAAATATTGCTTTTAGATTAAAAACTAAAAGTCCAAGAAGATTAATAACTTAGTTTAGCAGTCTTGGCAGCTTAATCTAGTGTGCTAGCATATACTAGTTAAAGCAAGTTTTCCTAGCGTTGCAACAAATTTCATTTTGTGATGACCAAATGTGATAGCATAAGCTTGCCAACTTGTAGCATACCCAAATAACATCTGACAGTTTATTCTTCTATGCTTTCATGTTTTATTTCCTTGCTCTGACACCTTCTATTTTTCATTTTTCTTTCCTGCTCACTTATGTCTATTCCTCTCCATTCACCCACAAAGCAGAAGCTACTTAAGGCATTTGAGGACAGATATCCCTAATTTCATGTGTTGGCCACACAAACTTTTGCGTACTAACAGTGTATAACGGGTGTACTTACAGGTAAGCATATAGTTTCTATACAAGTCCTCACCCTGTTATGGATGCCTGCAGGAGTGGAGCTACTCTCTTTCAAGAAGCCATTGCTACTTCAGTAAGTTAGAACAGTAACTCTATCATCACTGGTAACAAGCTAACAATAAGCAATAGACACATTTTTTTCATCAGAACAGAGCTATAAAAGCAAGCGTAACAACCTGCATCTCACCTTGCCTGAAGATTTTGGATGCATTAAGAAGTTTAAGATTCTGGTTACCAGCTCACTATTAACACCTGATCTTTCCAAGTCAAGAACTTCACAGATACTTTTCAACATTGCATTTCTAAATCTGGGGAGAAAAAAAAAAAAAGACAACAAAACAGCAGAAAAAGATTCAGTATGACATTCTAAACAGTCAACATTTGACTGCTAGAAGTTGCTATCTCATTTGTGTCTGCAATCTGACAATAGACATGAATATACACACTTAACTATGCTTCTAGTCTTACCTATAGTTAAGCAAAGAACCACCACCATATTACATAAAGCAAACAAAATTTCCAAATCCACATGTATGTAAATTAGGATATATTAAAAAAGTTATAAAATCTTAGTTTAAAAAAAATAAAATCTTCCCCAGAATCTCTCCTGATGTACCACACTGGAAAGAACCCATCTGGGAAAACAAATCCAGTGGGTAAAAGACTGGAACTCTAAGGGGAGTAGGGGTTCTGCTTTTATTTTCTCTGGTTCCTTACCCCTTTACAAAAGTACCTCTGATAAAGACAGAAGGTTAAGAGAAACTCTGACATCCACGCCCTTTACTCCAAAAGGATCTTGGACCAATTGTCCCACCGATATTGAAAAAAAATGGGAAAAAAAAAAGTCAAACCCTGTGACAGTATGCCATCAGAATGCAAGCTTAATGAGATTAAAAAAAAAAAAAGGGAAAAAAGTCTACTTATTCTACCTGTTACCTCCCTTCAAATGTTTGTTATCCTCTTCACTCATTTTGTACAATGCTGCTTGAAAAGTGGATTTCACTGACCTTTTTTCACAAATTTAAAAGCTATTTCTAATAATCAAAGGAAACTTACTTTTCACTGTATATTTAAGAAGTCAGTGCAATTATATCATCATGGCCTACAACTTCTCTAAAGTAGCATTTAATTTTAGACTGTCCCCTTAAACTCAGACACTTTTAAAGGGACAGAACAACTTTGTTTTCCCATGGGCATGTGAACAGGAAATATTAACTGGTTTGATGCATCACCCTGCCTCAAACTACAGTTCGCCCACCATTCTTCCAATGATAAAGTAAAATCTTGCAATCATTTTTCTAGACAGGATTACAAAAAATATTGTGGATTCTTAACACGGAAAGCCTTCCTGCTTAGGTTTTAGGGATAGACTGAATAGTTGTAAGGTATGCATAATCAAAAGTCAGCCTTTTGCATTTTAAAAGACAATGCTACTATAAAGTTAAAACCGCTTAACTTGTTAACAGATTTAAAAACTGCACAGCATCAAGGTTTCTGTTTCAGACTTTCAGGACCTTGCATATAAAATTTAGGATTTTATGGTTCTATTTTATGATTCTATTGCTAAATAAATAAAACTAAAATTCCTTATGACTTGTGTTAGAGATGGCATTTGTCCTCATATTTTAACTTAAGTTAGAACTAATACATACAAAGAATAAGTATCACCTCCCAAATCCTTTCATATTTGTAATGCTTTAAATGTACATCTGCAGGTTCAGAGCAAACAATGTACAAAATAGTAAAAAGCAGTTAAAGTGTGGAATAAACAAGTGTACACAAGTTTTGAGTCAGTAACTTCCATAGCAACTAGTTTTGACTTATAAAATCCAAGAACTCTAAGCCACACAGCAACCTCAACCCTCATTCTTTTTAGTTTATAACCTCAACAGCAAGAATCTGCAAAATAAATTTTGTATTTCGTTCATGTTGTTCAATGCTCTTAAAACATGATGAAATGCAAGTGTACAGTGTGGGCAGAAATCAACCATATAGTCAGAATTAATAATCTAATCAGCAGTGTTTCACACATAGCTATGAACAGCAAGCAGAATTTACCACAGTAACACAAGCACACAGGGCTCAGTAAGAGTGACAATGCAACCAGTTTTCAGAATATTTGTTGAGGACTGAGGGGTAACAAAAGCTAACAGCAGTTCTTTCATATGAAAAAATGTAAAAAATACTTTATTTTGTGACTTTTCACAGATAAGGGGAAACACTATCCAATTAAACCAGTGGGACAGTCAAAACTTGCATCCCAAGACAGAGTTTGTCTTGTAGATTCACACGTATTTGACAAACCCTACTCCTGGAAAACTGCGTATTTGAGGAAGGAAGATATACAAATTTCAAATTCTGGAAGCTTTCCCTCTATCAACAAACTGACACTGAAAAAAATGATTTAGAATCAGTTGTGTTGGAGTTAAAAGTTCTTTCATTTGTTACAACTAGCTGCACAAATATGCAAGGGTATTTTTAAACCCTTTCAAACCAGTCAAAACCAAGCTCCAGCAGCTTCTCCTGTTAACAGAGGAGCAGTTTAGGTGGGGAGATAGTAGAAAAAACCCCCATTAAACTAGTTGCTACAGCAATTGTAGGAATAAGACTGTATGTTTTATATATAATAAGCAGAAATGGCTTTGATTCTGAAGGAGGAAGGTTTTGAGGCCTAGAAGGATGCAAGTTTGCACCATGAATAGAGCACAATGTATTCACACTATGCTTGCCCTGGGGAAATTATGTTTTCCTCTCACATGGCAGAAGAATCTGCTAGTTAGCATGCAGTAGTTAAAGCCAAGACTAGGAACTGTGAATAAAATGTTCACAATTTAACTTTAATACATTGAAAGTTGTCTTAAGAGACCAGTTTGGGTGATTAAAATAAGCTTAAAATAGATCATAGAGCTCTAGGAAACAATCACTCTGCTTAAAGTTTGAATTTAATCTGAAAGTTTTGAAAATAAAAATAAGTGCGTAGCATAAATCAAGGTATGTTAAGTAGCAATAGTGATCATTACTTTTTTAACATTTCTTCCTTCTTTTTGTATTGGTCACTTCCTTTTTCAAATGGGAACCCGCTGAACTGACCCACATTCTTCTTTAGGGAAGCAACCTAGAGCAGAACACACAGATTACTTTCCATTGCAAGTAGTTTAAAAGATTTAATCCAATTACATTTGTTAACTTTTCATACAAGAAAAGCCTATTCTAGCCTTTAGCTTTCTGTGGACAAAAAGTTATACCATTTAAGTTATAACCTACGTAGACACCCTGATTTCAGCTGGGATAGGGACAATTTTTCCTTCTTAGTAGCTAGAAGAGTGCTGTGTTTTGGATTCACCATGAGATTTGGTACAAGAAGAATATTGATAATGAACAGATGTTTTTAGTTGCTGCTAAAAAAAAAATCAGGGACTTGTAAACTTCCCATGGCCTGCTAGTGCACAGGGACACAGGAAGCTGGAAGGGAGCACAGCCAGAGCAACAGACCGAAATTGGCCAACAGAATATTCCATATCATGCAACACTGTGCTCATGCAGAGATGACGGTTGACCAGGAAGATGGCTCTTTCTTCTGGGATTGCAGTTTTGGGATTCTCTCTTCCCTGAAATCACTAGCCAGGAACAGGCTGGGCACTGGTCAGCAGATGGTGAGCATCTGCATTGTGCGTGACTAGTTTTTATTTTCTATTATTACTGTTATCATCATCATTAAGTTAATTTTATTTTGCTTCAATTATTAAATTGTTTTTATCTCAACCTATGAATCTCCTTACTTTTTCCCCTACAATTTCTCCCCCATTTCCCAGCGTGGGGGAGGGTGAGTGAGCAGCTGCATGGTGTTTGGCTACTGGCTGGGTTTAAACCACAACAGATTATGCCTGTACTTATCTCATGACAGCCAAACTATGATTAAGTTCCTGTGATCTTGGTACTTTTATTTCCTTTTAATAACTTGCTAGGTAAATTCGCCTGCCATTTCAAACTTATTTAGAATGTACTGCATGACTATCTACAGGTTTGGACAGCTATGATCAGGTGAAGCTTGCTGCATGCTTCATGTAATGGAATTTGTTATAGAATACTGAATTTTATTTTTACTATATAATCCACTAAAGCATATTTGCTTTACTTCCTTTACTAAAGTCTGACACAGGACCATGACTGTACTTTTGAACCTTTTGTTTAGCATGACCAATTTCTGCATTTGACAACTTCTACTATTATACCTGGAGTCTGAATAGGGTTGAACTTTCATTGCAACAGCCCTTATAATGAGAAAATAGTTCCCATCAAGATCCCAACTACATTAAGTTCTTTGTTTTCACTCCATCTCCTTTTATCAAAAGGGAAGTTAAAAACCAGCTCCAAATCTTTCATTCTTCAGAGATCTTTTTAGCACTATTAAGAATAATTTGAACTCATTTTCAATAGTCTACAAATTTTGTTCCTGGTGTTTCTCCATTAGTTTACAATTTTAACAAAGCTAAGATCCTTTTCTCTATCCAGCACCTACAGAAAATTTGCAGATGGTATGTTTTATTAAAAGTGTTAGTTACCATCCAAAGCACAAACAGAACAACATCTGATCTTCACTATATTAAACAGCATTCCAAGTTCCTTACAATTCTGATTAAAAATAGTTTTGGATTAAACCATACTGATATATTTGCAAGCAAATAAACATATCCCCATATATTTGGACTCAAACCACTGGGACACTGCAGCAATCCAGCTGGGTTCTCCAAGCAGTCCAGAAGACTAGATGTGGGAGGGCAGAGCAAAGGCAGGGTGGAATTGCAACCAATTAAGTGGTGTGGGAGGGAAGGGTGAGAGCTGTATTTCAACAGTAGTTGTGTCTAATTAGTATGATTTAGGAGTGTTAAGTATCATTGTACAATTATATAATTTGCACATAATTATAAAACTGCAAACAGTTGTGTGTCCTAGTTGATTAGATTATTATTTATTACTAAATTATTAATAACGGTATCATTGAGTTGTTAAGTTTCTTAGTAGTGTGTTGCAAAATCAATGAAGAATACAGTCTCTAAAATCAGTTATGTCTCAGATCTGCAATCTAAAATGGGAGATGGGACTCTGAGGTAATGGTATCCTGAGGTAATGGTATCCCAGTACCTCCACTCAAAGACAATAGAAAAGTGTTACTGGATTCATGAAGGGTAAATGAATGCAGTTTGAGGACTTCCACAGTAAAGCCAGTTAATTCAGAAAGTTACATGGTTCTGCCATTGTACCTTTCCTATCAAACAATTAAATTGTACTGCAGCACAATCTAAAAGTTTGCAAAACTCTGTAGGCACCGAGTCAGAAATTCTCTGGTCTGGTTTATTGCCATACTGAATAAATAGCATAATTCACATTAGTAGGTTTTAATGAATATATACTGTTCTTTCTCTGAATACTTGAGGCAACAGATCTTTCTTTACCATTTAAACAAGCCTCGCATATGCAGCAGTGGTCTGAGATATTACAGTTAGCATGCACCTGTACTAGCACTGTTCAGGTCCTGGTTTCTGTGCTAGCTGTTCAAGTTTCTAAAATACACAAAGAGATTAAAAACAAATTCCTGTAACTATGGCAAGCATACTGAAATAGTAAAATATAATCTGCCTTAATTTCTCTACATCCAATTTACCTCTATTAGCAGGGAAAATGGATCATATATTTACTCTGAAATTTTAGGCACAATCACTGCTAAAGGGCTCCAAGAAAGATTTGCTACTATATTTTAGTTTCCTCCTTGAATACAAAAGTGAGCATATCAGTTTTTAACTAATATTTTAACTGTCTTTGATAAATGTGACAAAAATCAATATTAAGATTTTACATATAAATGTAGTTTTATTTTCTACTGTTTTGTGCAAACTAAATGAGAAAACGACTAGGTAGGTAGCAATATATTAAAACCCACAAACAGGTTTCAAACAAAACAAACAGAAGTACTAAGAAAAAGCTATGTTGAACAAAGTAACTAACTACATGTTGTTGAACAAAGTAACTACATGGAGTATTTTTACTGTAATCCACAGGTCAGCAGCTTTTAGCATGTGAATCATAAATTATTTCCAGCTCATTCTCATAAGATAAACCGCCCTTCCCCCTATTAAAAAAACTGTAAAACCCCTGTATTCAAGCAGACACAATTCAGTAGACCTTCCCATAGGATTTTTATAGGGAGAGCAGTTTAGAAGAGCTAGAAAAATTATGGGCTTGCTTAACTGGTTCTGCAATATTAATTTTCTAAGTTGTTTATAAGTGACACTTAAGAAGTAGATCTACATGTGCAAATGTAAAAAACTATACTACAAACATTTTTACTATGCATGAGAACTAATAAATACACAAAATTGAATTTTAAGTTCTTACAGTGCCTGGCCTGTTGTAGAGGAGTTTGTGCAGGTTCCTAAGTTCGTCTGTCTTCTTTTTACTCAGAAAATACTGTATCCTTTCAATTTCACAGAGTTTTTGTCCTTTTCCTGAAATAGTTAAAATCAATTATGCTATTCATCACATTCATATTTACCTATGTGTTCTTAACTTCAAATATCTACTGGTTTTTCTTTTAAAAAGCAAAGAAGTTATTTCAGAATAGCATCACCCATTATAATAGGTCAAACATTAAGCAGGCCTCTTCCTGTCAGTTAGGCATCCTAACAGTCATTTATCTTCCTTGGTTGATACTACCTAGACCAGGGTACAATAACTTGGCATTTCTTTTTATTCTAGCTTCTCCTGCCTTTGCTAGTGGTGGCTAGGTACTGAATAAGCTATTTCAGTTAAGTTTAGGCTTTATATAACTTGCATGGCTTAAACTGATGCTACGGAATAAAAGAGAGTTTGCATATAATTCTAATAGCCTTACTATTTTAAAATAGATCATGACTCTAGGTTCATCTACACCTCTACAACTAGTTCATCTACATCTCTAGGACTCTAGGTTTCATCTACAACAAATTAATAATTTGATCCTTTAAGAGGTTATGTTATCATGCCCAACACTCAATTCTTATGCGAGAGGACAAGCTTACCTGGTGTAATTGTAAAAGGTTCCTTTTGCAACGAGGACACTTGCATGGTCAGTCGGTCTACCTTCTTTTTCTCCCTTTTTCCTTCAACAATGAGACTCTTTTCTGCAAAAAACCAGTTTCCTTATACGCAATACTCTTCATTACATGAGTAGATCTGACTGCAGAAACAGGCAATGCAATACTGAATCTTTGAAATGGCAACCCAAAAATGGGTAATGATATAACCAGGTACTTTGACACTTTCAAATCTTTGGCTAATAGGTCAATGGGATTCTATGGAGCTATATATATATAACTAGACAAGTCTGTAGTTCTTAACCCCAATCCTGTATCCAACTTAACCTTGAAGACAAGACAAGGCATTTCCTAAAGGGAACTTCACCCCATAATGGAGATTGCAGTACTACGTATTTTCAGACACCCATCCTCCTCTCCCTTCACTGCCTTTCTGAGGTACAGAACTGACAGTGTTTGCATAGTCTCCTTTTAGGGATGCCACAGCCCCTACACATACCTGTAGCTCTCTTGGGGAGAATACTACCACCAGATGGACAAAAGGAGAGTCCAGCATGCCTGCAGGCACTTTCTCTTCCCACTACTGGACTGGATGGCTCATACATGTCAACAGGAGAGGCAGAAGCACAATGCAGCAGGACTGTACTACACCTCTCAGGGCTACACAGTGTGACACTCAGCAGGGCACAATATGACTGTCACAAATACTACAAGAATACTATTCCCAGTAATTCTGGTACTGCTTAGTAATGTATGATTTTTGATTGTTTTGCATATACATTGGACACCACTACTTTAATGATACCACGCCAGGAGAAAAACCCGAAACTTCACCTAAACATTTCATAGTAAAATACTTGACCTCAAAACAAACTATCTTTAATGCTAAACAGATGCGCTATCCTGGGTTTAACATCCGAAAGCAGCTTCAAAATCTGTATGAACATAATCAAAACCAGATATGTATCTGCTGAAAACACAGCAAAACATACTTGTGTATACACAAATAACAGCTGTTTCTAAAAATCTCATTCTTATTACTCTCTTGTTTCCCAAAGGGCATAATCTCTTTTCTTTCTACTACCGTTCCTAAAGACAAACTTCAGCTCTTAAGAATCCAAGACCATCAGTGACTTGGTTATCACAGTGCCATAGGGCAGCTCTATTTCCACAGATGCTTTCTTTTGCAAAACAGGTGCCATTCACGATGGAAATTAACATTTTCACATAGTAGTTCCTTTATCACAGCTTGTATTCCTTGACTACCCTCTTCAATTACATACCACAACACAAGATCTGCCTTGCTTGCTCGTCCTATGATGTCGCTGCAACTTTTATTGACCAAATTAGTCAAATGGAATATAACCCCTCTGATATAATTCAATTTTGGTACCCAGTAAATTAATTCAGCCATTAAGCAAAGACATCTGTATTGCTTCCAAAGCTACTGCACAGATTTTTCAAGTTTCTGTCTTCCGCAAACACGGATCACTTCAGATCATTACAGAAAAAAAAAAGGATTCTTTTTTGGATATGCATTTTTACACAAATAATTTTATAAAGGATGCTACCTCTTATAGTAATCTAGAGATTTATAACAACAACAACGCCCTAGCGTAGGAACCCAGGATGCTGGCAATTCATTCGATCTTTCCCAAGGAACATCAGCATCACTGTTTCTAGTGTTGCTTGTTATAGTCTACTGGGAAGCGATTTATGACCAATGAAGTAGAGGTACCATGGAATATTCTAAACAATAATGGTACAATTAGTTGAGATCACAGAAGACTGCATCCAATAAGCTTGGCATTTTTTAAAGGACAACTTATTCAGTGGAAAAACAAGTACCCTTTTCTTCCTCCTCCTCCTCTTCCTCTTCTTCATCTTCATCAGTCTCCTCAGCTTTGTTTTCAGTTTCAGGTTGTTTCTCATCTGCTTTTTCCGACGACATCGTATCTTCTTTTGATGAAACAACAGAAGACATGGTGTACGGTCCTGTAAAAAGCAGTCAGGGAGACTATCATCCATATACCATTATACATAAAAAAAACATGAAATCTTGCTTTCAAAAAACACCTTCTTGTACAGTAGAAGCAATGTAATGGTGCTCATATTGTGATTGTTCAAATTCTTTAAGACACTAAAGTATTCTGCATACACACAATTTTTCAGGAGGAGCTGCCATCCATTCTGCAACTAGCCTGGTTCAGTTTAAAACGTTGTAAATTCTTTCTGCACACCAGTCTTCAAGCTTGCTTTGTGAAGCATTCGGAAACACCCACTCAAAGCAGCTGATGCTGTTATTTATTAAGAACTGTAATGTTTTAAGATATCACAACTGCAGCTCACCATATTATAAACCGAATAGTTATTTCTGATCATGGTAAACTACAGGTACAAGTTTCCTAGTAAGTTAAAGAAGCTACATATTTTGATAGGGAATGGGAACAGAAAAATAAAAAAATAAAAGTTACAACCAACTCGGAAAAAATTAACACTGCTTTCAGAATTCAAATTGCTTTGACATTTTAGGGCTTGAGAATGCCTTTTGGGTTTAATCTGCAGATCTTCCACAAAAAAAGAATAAACGCTTCATACTCAGCATATTTAAATGGAGCCTTTTTTTAGCATTTGAAGTGGTTTAAATGTTAACTCTAAATTAAAATATCACACTTTGGTGAGTATCATTTCCCTACTGACAGAAAACGGCTATCTAACAAAAGAAGATAACCATATCTGTTCATTTCTGAAAGTTTCTAGCTTTCAAAATCTTTCCCTGTTTACAGATCTGGAACAAAATACAGCATTGGTTGTACAAGCCCTTGTGGAAAAAATAACAAGATTTTTCTTTTTCCGATATTAAAGCCAATATTTTCTGCAAGAGGTCAGACTCAACAAACAACAATGAAATCATCTGCTTATATGCAATATTAGCAGGTGCCAGAGAACAACAGCACTCCAAATGACAGGAAACGTGAATTATATTACCAACAGCAAGGGGAAAAAGAAAGTTTACTACTCTTTGCTGATTCAGTGAGGGAAAAAAAATCTCTTTTCGTTTGACACGGAAAAGTAATCCAACTTTTTCATAGTATTTCTCTCTGAATTTTGCTTGTCCGCACAAGTGAAAAAGCAAGTGACATTGCAAGTTGTCTTTCCTTCCCCTTTCAACGGGAGCAGAAGGAAATAGGAAAGTGAAAAGACTTTTCAGCAACCAGGTCCGTGCGGAGGACGCCTTGCTTAGGGGAAAGAAAAAAAAAAAAAAAAAGTACTCGGATCCGCCTTTAGGAAGATTAAAGTCGGGGGTACTTTCGGCCAGGAGAGGGTATCTCGCAAGCCGCCCCGAGGACACTCGTGCACAACAGCCCCTCCCACCCTGCTCCAGGACTTTTCGGACACGGACTCGCCACCAGTCCCCTTCCGACTTGCGAGCCGGAGGCCCGGGAAAGCGACGGGGAGCGCCTAGAGGAGCCGGCGGTCAAGAAGGGCGGCCGGGAGCAGCGCCGAGTGCCATCCCCCTCCCGAACCAGCAGGCAGCGAGACCGTTCCGCCCCACTCCCGCCGCCGGGCCGCGGGGCGGGACGCA